TTCTAACACTTATAAAAAATAAAAATTACTTTTCCGCAGAGTCCCGTCCTCTTTAAAAAATCATCGATGGGGTATTCAATGATATGAATCAGTCTTGGCCTCCCAAGTAATATAGGAACTCTGGTATAAAAGAAATTGTAGCACATAAGAACAAAGAAGATATATGTTAAAGAGATACACAGAGTACATAGGTATCGTGATGGATTTAGATGTTCTAATAAAATGCAAATGAGGGGATTTGGTCCACTGAGACAAACTATGAATGTGAGAGTTTGGCAAAGCCATGTATAGAGGTGCATGGAGAAAAAGACTTAGCTGCGAAATCTTCTACGGACAGTGGGAGATTCAAGGCCCACGGCAGATGGCGGCGATAGAGCAGGCGTGTGCTGTGACACTTGTACAGCCTCCTTCACTTCTGAGCCACGCCAGAAAGGCCACAGGTGTACTAACAGTTGTGATTCTTAGAAAGGTAAACAGTATTAGAAATCTAATTGAAGAAATAGATGTTGCAAGAGAAAAAAAAAGAAATAGAAAATACACTGGTGTTTAAGGCTCGAAGAAGGTACAGCTTTTGCACAAACAACGTAGGAAAAGCAACTAGTTGTTACATTAAGGAAACTTGAACTAAGCCTGAGACCTGGTTGTTTTTGAAATGTCTTCCATGACATTTGGAAATTGGGCCAGGTGTTTAAAAAAAAGATAAATAAAATATAACTGAATGCAGCAAGGTCAGGAAAAAAAATAAAGATCAAACATGAAGTGGCTTTCCATATGGATAATGACTAAAAGCAAAAAAATAAGGTTAAAAACAATTATAGCTAGAAATAATGTCATTGGGTGGAAAGAAACTGTTAAAAGATAAGTATAAAATCTGAGCAATTTCTGAAGTTTTATATTTTTATTAATTTTTAAAGATTCAATGATAATATATTAAAAAGGATATCTTACCATAGAAGTTCAAAAAGAAACTCTGCATTACTAAAGAAACATTATGGAACATTAACTAAAGCAAGATGAAGTAGAAACTTTGTGGATTATTAATTTTACTAGGATACTTAACAGCTACTCATGAGTTTAGGAGTTGTTATGGAGTTCATAAATTTCTGGAGATCGAGGGAGAGTTGCTGGGTTATCTGTCTATTAATCAAAAGAAAACAACAACAACAGCAACAACAGTCCTGGTAATTAAGTACCTGTCTCTTGAACTTCCATTCTCAGAAAGAAAGATGAGTGCAAACCATCACACAATCAATTTGCAATCACAGAGAACTGAGAACAACGTAGAGACTGACATGCCTTTCAGAGAACAGTTTTGTTGTTTCACAAAGAAGGGGCAGGAGGGGTAGGTAAGAGGGACTTGGAGAGATGGAGACTATGTGGGTTTCAGTCATGCAGTTTCCTCGCGAATCAGAAATTGTTTGAACTGTTGATCTCAGTGCTGTAATAGTGTATGTAGCATGCATGCAGTCTTAAAAGTCATTTGAATGAAAATGGATTTTGTCTCAAATAAAATGTTCCTTATCTACAAGATAATTTTGTCTATAATCACAAAGGAATTTCACTCCTTTTGATGAGCACAAAGGTGATTTCAGCCAGTTTTATAGGACTGTCACAATATTGAAACGATCTGTATGGTTCTCCTATTATTCAAGACAGCATGTCTGTGCACATAAATAATCTTATCAATCACCTCCTAAAATATGCCTTCAGGAGACGAAGTCTTGCCAAAAGAATCACTTCCCTCTTATAATGAATAATAGACTCAGTGTTGGCCACCAATTTATCTTATTGCTGTTTGGCATAATTCCTCTGGAATGAATTTGAGGAGCATTAAAAAACCATAAAAAGAGGAAAACCCCTCTCATCCCCAAATGTGGTAAGCATTTACTGGATATTCATTTCTTCAAAATTTGATGGCATTATTTATCTTAAGCAACGGCAAGTCCCTGAAATGAACATGGTATATGAGGCTCAGTGTTTTCACGCCCATCACTATTATGCTTTGTTTTTTTCACAAGGATATTGTAGTTAATAATTCAAAACCGTAACATGAACCAGGACTTGACTTTATATGGAAGCCACCTTGGAGAAATTCAATAATTCAGTACTGATCCCTACCTATTAATGTTATGACAACACTCTGTCAAAAATTACTATGAAACTATGAATTGGTTGGAAATTAAATGTAAAAAAATAGCACTTTTTTTCAAAAAGAAGAAAACAATAATAGTCGATAACACTAACATCTCTATAATTTTTTTCATTAAATATAAATAAGTACAAGGCAATTAAAAAAAAAGATCCCAAGTACCTTTTTAGTATATTTGCAGTTTTTATGTAACTGTCCAGAAATATTCTATGAAAAGCCAATATATGTTTTTCATTTATTCAGATCTGCAGGTAAAATGTATAATATTCTAGTTTAACTATTGTTACTCAATAATTATTTGAAATTATTCCACATTAGCAAATATAGATATGCCTAATTTTTGACTGCCACATAGTATTTCATGGTGAATACACCATAATCTATCAACAAGGTATGATGCATGTGTTGATTTTAGCATTATCTTTGCATTGAAAAAAATCCTGTTCTAAATTAATATCAAGAATTGACCGAATCATGAACGAAATTACAATTTAAATTATATTTTTGAAAAGTCAAAGTACATGTGAGAGTTTTCTCACGATCAAATAGAAAAGAACTAGAGCCCAATAAGCTTACTTGGCAGCATCAGGGAATAACGTTTTGGGAGAACTAAATGAGGTAATGCTCGTGAAGCCTCATCTAACTGTCAGGAAATCAGGACTGAAAAAATGTTCATTACGGAAGGAGCCCAGAGAAGGTGGTCAGGAGCCAGTGTGAGGCAAACTGAGGGGCATGGGTGCCATTTGAGGACCCGTGAGACAGGAATGAAAGAGAAGAAATATACTCAGGGGAAGGAAAATCCTGTTAACATGATGAAGTAGAAAGGTTGAGAAAAGATGAAGACAACGTGGAAGCTATTCACAGAAGAGTAGAGTTACATGGCCCACTTGGACGTGGCTGAGAGCCACCAGGCCGGGGTTGGGGGGAGGTTATAGGAAAGAGGAGGCATGAGCTGGAAGCAAATGAGAATAATGAGAACCGCTCACTTTCTTTATCAGAAGTGTGGACACTTTCTTTGGAGAACTCTGGCTACAGATGATCTTTCTTTATTCATAAACCGTGAATAAGGTCTTGATAAATACAGGGTCTGGCAGAAGTAACGCCTGCTTGAGTGTGGTTAGTAGGGTAATAACATGGGTGTAATAACTTACAGTTTTAATTTGAACATTTCACCTAAAATATCATATGGTGTGCTTGAGTGTGACATTGTTATGTTACAGAATTACATGCTTATGATTTTGTAATAAAAAGGGGCATTATTTGTGCCAGACCCTGCATATTATATAGAAGAAAATATATTCTTTGGGTTGAAAATAGTATTCCTCTAAAAAGCTTTTATTCAAATCATTGATTTCTCCAACAGCAGTTCCTATTCTACAAACCCCAGACCAAACAGTCAGAGAGAAATAGGACAACTCTATAATCTCTGTATAGATTATATATATATCTGTATTATACACTAAATCTTTCATTAATCACCATGAGTCTCTCATTAGTACCTGCAGAAAAACTGTCAATACACAAAAAAATTCAATTCCAGTTTGAAGAATGTGAAAAGAAAAAGTGTAAGTCAGGATAGAATTTAATCACTGGATCTAAGTGACAGAAATTTTATCGACACGTAATACTACATGCAAAGTTCTATGCATGCTCTCAGTCAAAGCAAGAAAGATATATTTATAAAATACATTCCAACATCCAAAGAGCATAAAGCAAAAAGAGCACTAGCCATGTCAGCCAAATATTTTATTTAAAGTTAACTACAGGTCCTTTCTTCAATAATTTTCCATGAAATCTATGAAGTTCTATGTGATATTCAGATATAAACTACAAATTAATTATTTAAAATACAGGAGTGGTTATGATCACCCAGAAATATGTAAACAGTTTTAGTATATAAATTTATATTAAAATTAATTACAGTGTATGTTTATTATAGCAATTTTACTTGCTAAATGACCTTTCAAATGATCTTGTCGCTCTTGTGATAACTAAACCACCAATCTTCACATGGAGTAGGTATGTTTTAAATGAGAAAGCTTAACACCCTATATTTATTTTTTGCACATTGCTCAAAACAAAATACACTAAAACGTCCAAGTCCAAACGCAATGCAAGCCCACATTCTATAACAATCGCCAGCATTGGGAAAATCAAAGGACTAATTCTCAGCCATTCCATTGACTATGGTTCTATGTTACAGAGGGAGAGATTTAGACTTTCTCAAGCTCAGGGGATTACTTGAAAGTACAATCAGTTACAGGAAGCAAAGGAAAATAAACTAAGACATTCTAGACAGCGAGGAAAAAAAGGTAAAATTTAAATTTCCCTCCTGAGCCTGAGGAACAATTGACAAGATACCAATGAAAAAATGCCCCAAACAGATACAGATACAAGTGGCCCTCCCTTACGCAGATACAGGCACACACAACGAGACCCTTGTAGGATAAACGTATTACTCGTGATGATCCACAAATCCATATATCGATGAATCTTTGCATAGGTATTTATCTTTCACTGGATGTCCTCACTTGCTAATACTCAAAAAGATAAACATAATAAGATATTTGATAAGCAACACAGATTAGATAGAAGGCACATGATACTTGTTTGGAAAAGTCATAGATAAGTAGAAAATAACAGAGGACTTTCAAAACACCACAGAATGTTGTTATAGTTCTAAAATGTCCAAAGGATCACGTTTACTTCGAACACACTACAGAGGGAGAATTAATGGGCTCTATAACCTACGTGGCCAGCTTAAACTGGAGTAAGCCACTCATGATCTGGAAAAAGAAAGCAAGGATGAAAGTAGCCATCATGTTATCACAGACCACTGCAGATGAAGTACCTGTTCACTACGTCTTCTCCATTCCAGCAGGGCAGCCCGTCTGCCGCGGCTAAGTCGTTAACACACAGCTGATCGGCCAGGCCCCCGTAAAACGTCTTATGCAGGCGGAGGCTGTCGATGAATTCTCTGCATGGAGAAAACAAAGAACACAATTAATCCCCAAAACCCCTAACAGATGCCAATATAAAGGGCATAGTTTGTTAAGTAAAAATGTTTAGAATGCAACATTTTTGTTTTCTCCACTGATTTTCATATATTTTCAATATTTTCTAACGATCAAGATACAAAAATTATTAGAAAAAGAACACTAGTATTCAAATTCTTCGTTTTGAATAGAAGTTTTTACTGGGCATAAATCTTATATAACGGAAGTTGTGAATAGTGTGCACATGCACACTTCATTTAGCTTCCCAAAACATTCTCACTAGTTGTTGGCATCGAAACCACAGTGATAACTAATTACTTCCTTTCCCATACAGAAATGTCAGAGACTTACAATGTGACAGTTTTTTTGCTTACTGATTAGAAGTTTAGTAGACTTATGATTTTTCTTTTTTTTAAAGATTTTTTAAAATTTATTTTTAGAGAGAGGTGAAAGGTAAGAGAAAGAGAGAGAGAAATATCAATGCGTGGTTGCCTTGCGCATGCCCCCTACTGGGGACCTGGCCTGCAACCCAGGCATGTGCCCTGACTGGGAATCAAACCAGCGACCCTTTAGTTTGCAGACCCACACTCAGTCCATGAAGTCACACCAGCTGGGGCGGATTTTTCTACCTGGGTCTTCTCTTTGGTGTCTAAGAATATGAAGTGACCCTGGCTGGTGTGGCTCAGTGGGCTGAATGCTGGCCTGCAAACCATAAGATTGCCAGTTCAATTCCTGGTCCAGGCACATGCCTGGATTATGGGCCAGGTCCCTGGTTGGCAAGAGGCAGCCAATTGATGTTTCTCTTGCACACTGATTTTTTTTCTTCCCCTCTCTTTCTCTTTCCCTTCCCTTCTCTCTAAAAATAACTAAATAAAATTTTTTTAAAAGAGGAACATAAAGTAATATGTTTTTACTGAACATGACAAACGCAGATATAAAACATACAGAGTCTGCCACAAATAGTGCCCCTTTTTTATTGCAATATCTTTTATTAGAAAATCATAAGCATGTAGTTCTGTAATATAACAATATCACACTCAAGCACACCATATGACATTTTAGTAGAAATGTTCAAATTAAAACAGTAAATTATTACACCCATATTATTACCCTACCAACTATCTACACTCAAGCAGGCATTACTTCTGCCAGACCCTATATTTCCGAAGCTTGAAAATAAAAGTTATTGGAAGGAATACTATTTAATATATTAACTAAGTTTTTTTTCCCCTCACACTCTATTCCCCTCCCCCATCAAGTACAGAAAGGAATAACAGAGCACAAAACCAGTTTGTTTGGGGTTTTAATTTAAAAAGGCAAGAATTTTGAGTTTTAAAACCAAGGCTTTGTGGATCCAAGAACTTGGTTTTAGCATTTCAAAAGATCAAGTCCTAAAGACTTTAGTTTTTAAATTTTTCTTACATAAACAAATATTTTAGGAAAAATAGAAAAGCTACTAGCTTGATGCAGAGGAGATGATTTCTGGACTAGGAGAGAAGGGTAAGGAAAGGAAAGGCTGGAACAAAAGCAAACTTTAGGAATTCATGGCTTGAGTAGTTAAAATGTAGCAATTATGAAATTTCATCTACCTTCGAAGTTTTTTTTTTTTTAAATCTTTAAAAGTGAAATCAGAGAAGAGGGGCTGCTCTATACTATAGAGAAAATAACTAATTAAAAAAAATAAATACAATTTTGACAGACTGATGCTCAACTCTCTTAATTTCATAATTCTTTATTGATTTTCAAGAATGTTTATTTTTGAAAACATCTGTAGGAATGATAACTACGGTTTTCAAATATGCAACGTCTGAAATGACAGAGAAGATCAGAAGTTCCCATGGCATGTGTTTAACAAATTTTCAATCACATTTTTAACTAACCTTGACCAAGCAAGTAATAACAAAATGGTCACAGGAAGCATAAACCTGATTCAACTCTAATTTGCCCTCAATAAAAAAAACACATTGTTTTATTTTCTTACTAACATAGGAACTACTTATTTAAATTTTACATCAGTTTTCTCTACTAGGAAATAGCCCCTCCTTGACAACTATATCCCTGCCAACTGGAGTGCAAGATCAAATATCATTTCTCATGTGGCAACTACTAAACCCTAACTGTGGAAGCTGATTGGTTCTTTCCTAAAGAGGTGGATTTCAATAAATGGTTAAAAATGGAGTCTGAACCTATTCACTATAAATGACCATCTACTTTGAATCAAAGAATTTTCTAGAAGTGAAGATGCCCAGCACAAATGTCTGGAATGCTATGACCTCAGAATTGATGGCCTAAAACTGAATAGATTTTTTTCCTATGCCAACCTTAGTGAACGCCACCCTCATCCCTTTACAACCAAAAGACCAAGGCAGGGAGAGCTGCACCTCTTTCTGGGGCAGACCCCTTCTGCGGTTGCCTTGGTCCGAGCTCTTGGCCTCTCTCTCTGAAATTCCTGCACTCGGATCCCAAACCTCCAATCTCCTTCCTTCATAATCATCTACCATGAAAGCCACCTTTTAAAATTCAAATCTGATATTGCACAGATTGCCACTAACTCACCTAAAATTATCAGTGGCTCTCTGCTCTTTACAGCATGAAACCCAAATTTCTTGGAAATGCATCTAAGGCCCCCTCTCACCTCAATTTCAGCAGCAGCTCAAACCACTTTTTAGGGTTCCACAAAAGTGAGATACTTGCTGTTCCCCAAACATACCGCCCATGCCTTTGTGCGCATACTCTCTGAAATGACTGGGTTCTAGAAGGTTTTCACTCATTCTATAAGCCACCAGCTATCAATTATTTGTCAAAGAGTATGAAACACTATTGTGGACTGAGTTCTGCACTTGCACTAGGAATTCACAGCTAAACAAGACAGTTCCTGCCCTCTAAGAATGCACACTCTGGGAAAAACCCACAATAATCTTGTGAGATCAATAGTGCACCATTTGGGGACAGAGAAGGATTCAGGAAATATTTACAAAACAAGGTGACAGTTTTTGGCACAAGACCATGAATTCCACTGGTTTGCTGTTGGATATGTGACCTCGGAAGTCAGTGCACTAGACATGGGATGTGAGATGCATCGTCTCTCAGACAAATGATGTGCAGTCAGAAAAAACCTAAGAGTCTCAGAATGAGCCAAAGGAAGACCACGTCAATGTTAGAGAGCAATGAAAACTAAAAAAAAAAAAACAAAAAAAAAACCCAGCAGAGGGAATCTGAAGTCAGAGAGATTCCCCACAGTGTAAAATGCCACTATGAGCAGTTAACTAAAATATGAAGTATGTCCTTTGTATGTGGGGCCAGCAATTGTTATGGACTCAATTATGTTCTCCTAAAATTCCTATGTTGAAGCCCTAACCCTCAGTGTGACTGTATTTGGAGACAGGGCCTTTAAAGAGGTAATAAAGCTTAAATGAGGTCACAAGGAAGAGGCCCACCCTGATATGACCAGTGTCCTAATAAGAGAAGACTGAGATGCCGGGGGTACAGGTCCAGCCAGAAAAGGCTCTGAGAGGACATGGGGAGAAGGTGCTCATCTGAAGGGCAAGTGGGACGCCTCGGAGAAACCAAACTTGCCAACACCTTGATCTTGGACTTGGAGCCTCAAGTAACTCTGAGACACTTTTTGTTGTGTAAGCCACCCAGTCTGTGATGTTTTGTTATGCAAACCAATATAATAATTAAAGCATTTGAAGTAGGTTAATTGACTTCATATTTGCAGCAGGATGAGCATTAAGCAGAACATGAGAAACTGGAAGTACAAAGTCCCAAAAAGGAAAACTAAGGGCAGTGTGTGTGTGTGTGTGTGTGTGTGTGTGTGCGCGCGCGCTTGTTTGAATAAGGAAAACATTTGAAAATATTTGTATGAGAAAGGGAAGGGAAAAACAAGGGTATGCTCACATAAACTTGTTCCCAAATATCCCAATTTTCTACCTTCTGGGCACAAAGCCCCTTTGAGGGTCTTTGGTTGTGTGACTTGCTCTGTGTTCTAGAAGATCTATGCAGAAGTGAAGCATGTTCCTTCCAGGCTTCCGCTTTAAGGACCTGTGTGGCTTCGCCACCTTCTGTTTCCATCCCCTGTCATGACAGGGAGTATTTCATATGTTGGCTGCTCTGGGGCTTGAGGCCTGGACACCTTAAACAGCGCCCCCAGCTCAGAAATGGGTATCAGTTGCTAAGAAAAACTCTTTTTTTTGGTCCTAAACCAGATAGGTTCGGGGTGTTTGCTACTGTATCATAATTTAATCTCTTGATTGACACAAAGATAAGAACATCAAATTAATGACTGATGGATCACAAATTCTGCAAAGAAGAAAGAAAATGGATTTCTGAAAGCAGATAGAGTGGTTAGCTTTGGAGCAAATTCTCTGCAACTAACGTAATGGAAGCAAGTCTACATGAACATTGAGATGAGGTTTGGTTTGTGAGGCCAGACATTTCAGGGAGGTCCTGCTTTGGAACTGCACATTCTGTGTTTGGCAGGTTTTGGGTCACAGGAACTAAGACCTGCATTGCACAAAGTTGTTGACTGAAGGGTCAGGGGATCTCCACTGGATACAGAAAATAATAATAATTGCAGGAAATAAAGAAGCTAAAACACTAGTAGCCGTAGTGAGGTCAAGATTTATGTACCACCCCAGAGCCAATAAATGCTGATCCTATACGAGAATCCACACTCCAGTTCCCAGGTCAGTTCTTGGTCTGCTACACGCCATGCTTCCATCCCCAGTTGTACATGAAATGTCTCAATGAATAAAATATATTCTTTGGATGATTCAGAATTTAGGTCGCTGGGAAGGTGACTATATCATTACAATTATATTTCTCAATCATGAGACTATTTCCAGGTAAAATAAAGAGCAGAACAAATTCAGGGAGATGTTAGACGTTCCAGTGAATTATCCTTGAGGGGCTGTGTGATATAGGCCAGTTGCTCATTTCAGTCTTAAAACATCTCAAAAATACAGAAATCAAATATTTT